ACTGAGGGCCGATTGTGGGTCTAGTCACACACTAGGTCTGGAGTGGGATGGAAATCATGGAAGCCTTTATCTTCCCCTAAACCTCTCTATCCCATGTTGTGGAGTTCCATACGAACCTAACATAATCTGTGTGCACGGCATCCCCTAGGCTTGTGCAGTGCACAACGAAGACAACTGTACTTAGCAGACCTGCTTAACTATTATTTCTATTATTTCCCCCATTTTGTGAATGGGGGAAAACCAAAGCTCAGAAACGCTAAGTAACCTATTCCATGTCACACTCATAATTGATAAATCCATGGAAATGTGATGGTGACTTGGAGCTGGAAGGTGTGAGGTGACACCTACCACCTGGAATCCTCATTGCTACTCTGGCTGCCGTTGCTACCCAGGGATGGAGAATAGACCCCAGTAATCTTTCCTGAGGAGTCAGTTGTGCACTGACTCTCCTCTACTCTTTGCTCCACCTGGAGCCCCTCCCAGGAAGGCATTTTCAAAGCAGCGGTGGGGCAGGCTCACACCACCGAAGCTTCTGATGTTGGCCCCAACATGACTTGCCACCCGACTTCATAAAAACGTCAGTCAAACAGCCTCAATATGGAAATAATGTGCAGTGAGTTATTCTTACACCAGGTCATCCATAATGGAAAATCAGCCTGAGATGGCCCTGTATTTCTTCCCGTTCCCTAAAGTGTAATAAATTGAAAAATTTAAAGCTTGGCATTAAGAAGGCTTGTCAGCTGCAGCCTGGAGCCTAACTGGTGGGGGCCTGGGGCCGGGGAGTTTCTGGTCGAGCCCATCCAGATCCTAGGAAAATCTGGGCCTGCTTGACTCAGGTGCCTCTGGGGTGGGCGCCCTCCGTCCCCCCAGCCCAGCCTGCCCGAAAGCCTACAATCCTCCTTAAGATTGCAGGTGCCGAGGCCATGCCTCATCCCGCTGGTGTGACCTTGACAGCTTGGCTTCTTCTCCGTGCTCCTTACCTCTAAAACGGGGTTAAAAATTCCACCCTCAGGCTGTTCAGAGGGCGAAAGGGATGAACAGTAGCAGCAACCACCCTTACGTTTTTAGCATTTTCTCAGTGCCAGGCGCTGTCCTAAACATTCTCATGTTTTCACTCATTTATCCTGCAGAGATCCTATTGAAGCAGGATTTTGTGTGTGTGTGTGTGTGTGTGTGTGTGTGTTCCCGGTATCATGGTCTCGTAGCACCAAAGAATGGAGACACAGACCAGAGAGGTCAAGTTTGCAGCAGAGGACAATTTATTAGAGCAGAAAGTAACAGCTCTCAAAAAACGAGAGGGGGTCCTGACTGGGGTGCCCACTAGTTTTGGCTTTATACTTTTCTTGTATGCCTGGTGATAAGAGCTGGCTGTTGCCTTTTGGCATTGCACTTGCTGTTCAGCCCGGAGGAGGTGTTTTCTCGAAACTGCCTCGTTTCCTTAGAGCTTAATCAGCTTAATCACTGTCTGAGAGGAGCATGTTACTGAGTCTGTGGCTTTGAAGATAGGACTCCTGACTGTCTTATGTTAAATAACCTCTTTGAAGATATGCATTCTACCAGGGGATCCCTGACCTGGAAAAAAAGGCCTTCCTCCCCCACCTGGGCTTGTCACTCTGGCGGGTCCTGTGACTTAAACCTATCTGTCAGCTAATAAAATTATTTCCCTGGCTCTTTTTTTGGTTTCCGCCCTGATTCCCTCTACCGTGTTAATTTCCTGACTGCCTATCATTTTTCCTATCTCGCTATGATGTAATTCTCCCTATTTTATGGATGAGGAAACGAAGGCCCAGCCAGGTTACAGGAATGGCTAGGAGAGGCAGAGCCCCCCAGGTCTGGCTGCAGTGTCCCAGCTCTGACCTCCACGCGTGGTAGAATCTGGTTCTCTACCAATAAGTGCTGGTCTGTTCCTCTTTCCTTTGGTAATCCATCCTGCCTGTGTGGCCAGACTTTCCAGAGAGGGGCAGTAGGGCCCAGTGATGCAGAGGTCGGGCTCTGGAGTTTGACCCACGAGGCTCACCTACTAACCAGGTGTGTGACTGTGAGCAAGTCACTTCCCCTGTGTGCCCTTCAGTTTCCTCCTCTAACAATCGGTCCTAATGGTAGCACCTTTCTCTTAGAGGTGTTCTGGGCTGTTCTGAAGCCAGGCAGATAAAGTGCAGCGCACTGGAAATGGTCCCCAAGCAACAGTAGCAGGTGGGGTCATTAATGCCCAAATCATCAGGGCCAATCTAATCCTCTCTCTCACCCGGTATGAGCTAAGAATACCGCCAACAGTCATCACCATTGACTGTGAGCTCTCTCTGTGTTCCTCTCTGCCTGGGGATAAATTGTCCCTCTCCCTGCTTGCTCTGGGGAGATTGAGGACAGGAAGGAGCATTTCTGGATCATGCACCCGTGCGCCATCTCTAAAATGGGGATAAAAATAGAGCCTTCTTTCTCTCTGGTGGCTCTGAGGACCAGCGGCATCACGCTGATGAAGCCCTCAGCCAAAGGAGGGACTGAGCAGATGGGAACTGCTGTCATTCTATTCGCCTCTGCCCTGTTGAGTTTCTTACAATGGCTCTCCCTTGCCTCCTGGCCCTGGGCCGAGCAACTTGGCTGGGCAGCGGGGCCTGCATGATGCCTCTCTCTTCCACTATTAGTTATCTGACATCATCTCCCATGATGGCCCATCTGCTGCTGCCTGCCCAGACCTTTTGTTCTTCCCACCCCCCACTGTGCAGATCCTCCCATTTTTTTCTCCCTCCACTTCCACTCTGATTGGAGCACCTGCACCACCTCCTTCCTAGGGGAGCACAGCAGCGTCCTTACTGGCTACCCTCTTCTCTTTGCAGTCTTGTCCTGTAAACCCCATCCTGCTCACAGCAGTCAGAGATCATGCCAGCCTCCTCCTTAGAAACCATCAACCGTTTCCCTCCAGACTGAAAATAAACCAAAGCTTTGCATCCTGGCTCATGAGCATCACCTCCTCCTCTCCTTCTCTGTCCAGCTGTCCAGCCATACTAGCTATCTTTCTGTTCCTCCGCACCAAATTTGTTCCATTTTTTTTTTTTTGCCTCAGGGCCTTTGCACTTGCTATTGCCTCCACCAGGGCATTCTTCCTCCTACATCTGCCCATGGCTGTTAGTTGCCTTTATATCTTTTAGGTCTTAGTTTCCATGCCTCTCCTTAATGAGGCCTCTGACGTCTGCATGAATCCAGGGCTGGTTTAGCTCTGCCTGCTTGTGAATGGTAAAGGAGCCCTCTATCTCACCTCCCTGCCTTCCCAGAGGCCCTGGAGTCACCTGCAGGAAGATAAGACTGTGCCTGGCTTTTCGCATCCTGCCTCAGTTATGCTCTAACAAAGCCCATTACCTCCCATTGCTCCACGTAATTTTTCTCAGTGTGTCTCAGTCCCTCCTAATCACTGAGGGAAATGGGCCACCCCAGTCCTCCCTCAACAAGACAGGCTCTTCTCTGAGCCCGACTGCAGGAATACAGTGTCCTCAGGGTCTTGGAAACAGGGCTTTGGTAGATTGTGGATCGTGCCGGGCTAGCAGTAAGTCGAGCTGGAAATCCAGGCTCCAGAGTGAGGAAGCTGTGGGAGTAAACTAAGGTCTCAATTTTCTTATCTGTAAAATGGGGATATTAGTAGTAGGTACCTCACAGATCCAAGATGAGGATTAAAAGAGAAAATGTAAGTAGAACTAATAATGTGGTACTTGCGAGATGATATTCCAATGAATGGTTGGCTGCCTCCCTTCTCCCTACCTTCCATTGTCATTATTATAATTCTAACCTGGGGCTGAGCTCCTGGACTTTCTGAGGAAGACATTCTGTGCCCAGTTTGGAAGGAGATGAAAATGACCCCAGGGAGGGCTCTACCCACAGAGCCCCCTACCTTGGCCAGTTCTCTGAGCAGCCTCCCCTTGGCTCCATTGTTTTCTTTTTATAGATCAGTGGGGCGTCTTCACTTACTCAGTGGCCTCAGGGATCAGGGATTGTGTGCACATCCATTCATGGGACTCTAGTTGGCTTTCTTTTTTTCCCCTTTTGTCTGTGAGCTCCAACCTTAATATCGTTCTGTTTTGAAGGGACCATGGGCTGGCAGTTGAGGAAGTATGTTGGCCTGGACAGTACCAGCGGTGTCTTTGCTCCTTGTAGCTGTGTGACTTTGGGCAAGGCACTGCCCCTCTCTGAGCCTCAAGTGTTTCCCTTAGGTGATTTCTAAGGGGGTTTTCTGCTCAGACAGTCTAGGGTTCAGAAATCAAAGGGATACTGCCAGTCGCAGGATGGACTCAGGGTTTATACACGGATGTGGTTTTCTCCAATGAGGGCTGTCTTTGGAGGTCATGTAGGTAATTGTACCTTCTTGATGGCCCCACTAGGCAAGATTAGCAGACCTACTGTGTGCAAGCAGGCAGAAGGATGAGAAAAATTTCGCTTAAGTAGGTGGCTCTTAATCTTTGAGAATCTAGTGAATGTCATGAACCCAGTAAAATACTCACATGCGGAATATTTTGCATACTATTTAAAAGGGGGTTCACAACTCTGGTTGCGAAACACCTGCAAATGCCTCCTCCAGAAAGCCTTCCCTACCTCCAAGCCTTCCTCCTCTTTCCTGTACTCCTCAGAGCAGTTGGCATTCCCTGTCACTAACCCTCTCCCCCATGGAAGGGCAGGGGCCAAGTTGACTGTTCCTTCCATGCCCCGAGCCTGGAACTCAATGGGCGTCAGCAAATATTTGTTGAACAGAACTGGCATTGAAATGGGGGTGGCTTGGCCTTATTCCATGGGGCAGTGCCTGTTCAATTTTGAGTGGGCTCAGAACCAGCTGCATCAAATGCAAACATTTGCTTTCCCCAGGTGTGGTGATAAATAGTTGTGAAGACATGAGGGTTGCCTGTAAATGATTATACTGCCTGCAAGGGGGCTGGGCTGGGCTGGATGGGGAAGGACATTCAAGGAGGCAATGTCATGAGGCCTCTTCTCTTTTCTTCTCACCCTCTGGCCTGGACCAGCTGGAGCAGAGTGAAGCCAAATGTGAGGATGCCTTGAAGACCCAGAAGGCGCTGACTGCGGACCTGGAGAACATGCATAGTGAACTGGAGAACATGACCCGGAGCAAGACCCTGGTACCTGTCCTTTTCTGAAGCTGTGGGGACCTGGGCCAGCACAGGCCTCTGAGCTAGCGTGGGCCTACTGTGTGCTCAGCACTAGAAGAGGGACAAGGACACTTATTGTGGCTCTACTGGGTGCCACCTTGGAGATACACACATCCACTGGAGGCCTACTGGTTACTCAGCACTATAAGAAGGACAAGGGTACTTACTGTGGTCCTATTGGGTGCTACCTTGGAGGTACAGACGTCCATTGTAGATCTACTGGGTACTCAACACCATTGTAGATCTACTGGGTACTCAACACTCTGAGAGTGCAGGCATCCTACTGTGAGCTGAGCATTTTAAAGGTGTAAAGGCATATATGAGGGTCAACTGTGTGTTCACCTCTGGAAAGGTAGGCGAAGAATCCTGTTGTGGACCTAATGTGTATTCAGGAATGTGGGGTGATTCCGATATGAACCTATTATTTGCTCAGCACCCTAAGTGGGAACACAGCTTTCTCCTGTACACCCAGAGCATGCTTACCACTATAAGTGGTTCTCAGGCAGCTGTTGTAGTCCTACTGTGTACTCACCACCATAGGAGGGGACTTGGACATTATTCTTGGGCTACTGCAGATCCATGCTTATAAGTGGAGACAAGGGCAACACTCATGATCCCACTTAGCTAACTACTATAAGGGACCCAGCCATCTACTATGGACCTACTGTGCGCTCACCACTGAACGGGGTGACACATGAACATATATTATGGGTCTATTATGTTGGTGAAAATTGGGTGTAGGTTTCTAAATCCCCTGTCTGGGTGTACAGAGTTTAAATGTATACTTTATGCATAAAATCTTTAAGTATAGCTAGAGATTTGTAGGCTAAAGCTTGTCTCAAGATTCCTACTGGCCCTTTTAGTCCACATTTTGTTTACACTAGATTAAAAGGAACTTGCCCACAAACACAGACAGTCAGACACACACACAACATGCAGAGATGAATATATTCACTCATACACAAAATCACCAGACAGACATACAAAATAAATGTCCACATTGGTAAAATATGCATCTAAGTTTATCCATCCCATACATATTTATTGAGCACTGGCGATTTGCAGGCCTAGTGCTGGGGATGTGCCTATGAACAGAACAAAGTCCCTTCTCAGGGTGATGACAGGGGTTTGCACTCATATTTAAAATGTATGCATGTAGATTCCCAGCTGGGCTTATGCAGACGTATACCCATTCACATACACACACGCTTCACTCAGTCCCACGCATGCCCAGTACAAACATTCAGAGCTGTCATAGCCGCCACATGCATTGACACACCCTATAGCCGCCCTTCCCTGTAGATGGTCCCTCACCTGATACACCCACAGGCAAGCCCACCTTTGCTCTTCATCGGCTTCCTGCTGTCACCCACCCACCCCTCGGCCTCACCCTCAGCCATTGTACTGCCGCCCGCCAGGTGGATGAGCAGCTGTACCGGCTGCAGTTCGAGAGAGCTGACCTCCTGAAGCACATTGATGAGGACCAGGATGACCTGAACGACCTCATGCAGAAGCACAAGGACCTTATTGCTCAGGTAATGGCCTTAAGTGGAGAAAAGCCTGAGGCCTCGGGCCAGGTAGGTGGGGCATATTCAGAAGGTGATGTGGTTGGGCCACTCCCTGGCCTTAGGACCTTGGAGGGATAAATGCCACAAAGATGTATGGGAATTGTGAAGGTTCATGTGGCCCTAAGGGATGAGAATGTCGCCTTCAGATGGTGTGTGCATTTCTGGAGGACATCGCCACTAAGAAAGATTTTGATCTATTCATACATCTGTCTAGCCATCCACCCACCCACATATCCATCCATCTACCCATTGAAATATTCATCCATCCACCATCCGTCTGCTCATCAATCCACCCACTCACCTATCTACGCTTTTATTGACCCTTCCACCTGCCTGTCCATCCATCCATCCATCCATCCATCCATCCATCCATCCATCCATCCTTCCACCTATCTATCAACTCATTGATTGATTGATTCATTCATTCATTCACTCATTCATTCAGTATTTACTGAGTACCCACCATGTGTTAGGCACTATGTGAAATGACAGGGATACTGTGCTGAGTAAAAGCATATCCCATTCCTGCTTTCATGTGGCTCACAGTTTCGTAGTCTGGACAGACCTTATCGCATAGACACCCAGAAGGAAGGGGAGACTTGCAAACTGAGCTAAGAGTCCAGCAAGGAAATGAACATGGTTCTTCCAATCCTGGCCTAGGTTGGAAGTCAGGGAAGGCTTCCTTGAGGAGGTGGCACTTGGATGGAGATGTGAACAAGAAGCAGAAGTTAGTGAGGTTGGAGTGGGCTCGTGAGGGAACAGCACACACAAAGGGCCTAGAGCGGTGCACTAGAGAGGCTGAACGGAGGCCGGGGAGGGGAGTGAGGGGAGTGTGGCACAAGAGGAGCTTGGCGAGGCCAGCACAGGAGGGCCAGAGCAGGGTCTTCTTGTAGGCCGATGAGTTTGGATTTCATTTTCTGTGTGATGGGAATCGCTGGCAAGCTCGTTAGGGGCAAGAGCAGGACAGGAGCAGCCAGGATGCCACCTCAGACTGTCAGCTCTACAATGACAGGGTTTTCCTGTCTTGTCCAAGGCTGTATCCCAGAGCCTAGAAGAGTGCCTGGCATGGAGTAGGTACTCCATCGATTGCTATTGAATCAATGAAAGCTGCAGTCCAGGGGCGAGAGTATGGCGGCTTGGACCAGGGAGGTGAAGTGGAGATGGGGGAAGTGGATGAACCTGGAAGACAATTAGGAGACACGATAGCAGGACAGGGAGAAGTAGAGGCTTTGGGGATGGAGCTGAAGGGTGTGATGAGGACCCCTGGCCGACTTCTGACCTGCGTAACTCATCTGATCTGGTAACTGCATAACCGCTTCCTCCAACAGCAATGAGCGTCTTCCCCACATCCTACCCCCAGGAGATCCAAGGTAGAATGCCTGCCAGGCTTGAGTGCATCCTACTGAGATTTGATCTGCGGGGATTTCTGCTGAACGAGGAATAATAATAACAAAAAGAATCAATTATATCATCAACGTGATAACAACCACCACAAAAATAGCCTATGCCGCCGCCTTCTGCGTTTGTGAATCATACTTATTTTTGTTCAAAATGGAACTTTCTTTATTTGTCCAATTACAAAAGCAGCATGTTAATATGCCCATTGTAAATCATTTCAATACTAAATACATGTGGAAAACAGAATCTGAGGGACCCTGCTGCCCTATGGAATCCCTCTCCTTGGAGATAATCACACTTAACATGTTGTTTGGTTCTACTTTCTTTTAAGGACCTTTACTCTCTATTGCCTTTTTTATTTATTTATTGTTTATTTTTAT